TTTTTTGGTTTTGTTTGTGTTCGTTGGTGTTTTTTGTTTTAGTCGGTGTTGGTGTTGTTGTGTTTTGTGGTTCTCCCGTAGGGAGTGTGGTTTCTCCCGTAGAGGAGTGTGTTTTTCCTCCTGTAGGGGAGTGTGTTTTTCTCCCGTGGCGGAGTGTGGTTTTCTCCCGTAGGAAAGTGTGTATTCTATCGTATGGAAGTGTGTTATCTCCCGTAGGAGATCGTGTTTTTCTGGTTGTTGTTTGTGAGTGTGTTTTGTTCTAGTGTAGGTTCTAGGCGATCTCCGAATTTGCCCTCCAACTAGATTCGGTCTGGAGCTGCTTCTTTCGACTGTTTGGCTGTTTCCTGGATGCAATTATGTGTTTTTTTTCTATAAAATCTCTATCATTTAAAAAAAAGACTCAATTAACCTTACTTTTTGACACAAATATGTGGACCAATTAACTTTATTTTATGATATAGTTATGTGAACAATTTTTTATTTTTATTTTTTTCTTTGTAATTTATATTTTACATACTTATAATAAAAAATAATAAACATTTTAGTAACAGTTCCTTAAAAAGAATATAAACCTGTATGAATTATATTTATGTAAAATTTTAATAATGATTATATTAAAAAATTGATACGCGAATTTAAAAAATATGTAACGTAATTAATAATTTTTTAAATATATAATAAAACTAAAAAATAATATTTAAATAAGTCTACAAAAATATATCATTTTCCGTCGACAATGACATGGTCTCAACTTTTGCGTCGAAAAAAAAAAAACTAAAAATGAAGGCAACATTATTTAAATATTATATTTTAGTTTTATTACATATTTACATTCTTAATAAAAAAAATATTTCAATTGCATAATTTTTTAATGATCATTATTAAACTTTTGCATAATCGTAATTTATATAGTTTTATTTTATTTTAAATCGGCTTGGCCCTTGGCCGCCTTCAAAGGGTCGGTCCACTCTCTACTTGACCCAAGATTTGACTCGGGCTCAGGAATATAGAGTAATACTACATTGCGAATTTAGTGTACAACTAAGTTAACAACACAAGTAAAAAACATCAACAACAAAAAAAAGAAAAAAAAATACACAAGTAGATGTTTTTACTTGTGTTGTCAAACTAGTTGTACACTAGGTTGGCTACGTATCATTTTTCGAGAATATAACATGCCAGATGCGTGTGAGCTGCGGTATACGTGACTCGATCTCAGCCGCTAAATACTCCACGATCTGCATCCAATCATCAACCCCATCAAATCCAAGGTGGACACCACATCGACTTTCTCCCTCTCTTCCGCTCTGCAAATCCTCGGGACAACGACTCTCTCAACCATGGCGTCGATCTAACCATCAAACCCCTAATTTTGTCTTCCCTTATTCCACCCCAATTTCATTATTCCTCAACCAGTCGCACAAGTTTCAGATATTCCTCAATCCAAGGTTGACCCATTATTTGTTGTTCTCTCAATCGGGTCTGGTTTTCTATTTTTGGTATGACGTTGTTTTTTTTCTTAATTCATGTTGCGTGAATCTATATATCTTCGTCATGTTCCAGTGATTATTGTGATTTATGTGAATATATTTCAAGTTTTTTTTCCATCTCTGTGTGCCTCTTTTCTTTGGTGGGACAAATCTTTGTGCATGTTTTTTCAAATCTTTGTGTGGATAATTTGACAAGCTTAAAACTTTCTTACTCGAGCTGGAGATTTTATGTACGGTGATTTCGGGTTAAGAAAAGCTATCTGTTTGTTGAATAATACTGATGAGTCTTGTTTGAGAGAATAAAAGTTGGGAGGGAAGATTATTGTTTATGATTGCGTGTGCATCTTTGCTCGAAATAGTTGGCTGCAACGAAAACAGATCTTGTGCATTCAGTTTTAAGCTGTTGGAATGATCTTTTTTGTTTTTTTTTTGAACTTTTGGAAGCCTTGAATAATTGGTTTGTAACATGTTTGTGACAGGATGGTTTGAAGTGGACAGTATAGTAATAGAAAGAAGTTAATTTTAAATCATGGGTAGTAGTGAAGTTGATAAATCCTCTAAGGAAGGGAAAGAAGAAAAGGAGCCGAAAACACCTGCTGCACAGGTAATATTGCGTGTGAACTGTTGGATGGATTCATGTTGTTCTTGGCTTATTTGGAATGTTCCATATGTTTTCGAATTTCAGGAGCAGAGTTCAGCTGCTTCTGGGGCAGTTGCAGCTGATTGGTCTGGGTTTCAGGTTAACATGTTCGAAAGATATGCCCTTCCATCCTTTGATTGACACTGCAAAGGTTATAATATTTTTAAAATTCTCTCTGCAGGCTTATTCTCCTGTGCCTCCTCCACCCGGGTTCTTAGCTTCAAATCCACAAGCGCACCCCTACATATGGGGAGTCCAAGTATGCATCTTGTGAAGTTTTCTTTGTTTCTAGCACTATTCTTAAATAGTGCAGAATGGACGCTATTTTGCTTAGGTTTAGTGGCTATTCCCCAATTTTCTGTTATGTAAATGTGGCTCGTTTCTTCATAATTGGAAGCACCTTATCGTATCAACAGTAGGCATGTCGCATATCAGCTGACTACCTTTTTGAAAAAAAAAAAAAAGTACTAAGTTTCCTGAAATCAGTATATTAGTCTCGTATAGCTGAGGGTAGAAATTGGAGCCATCAAAACTGATGTGCTGCTGTGCACAGCTTGAGAAAGTTGAACTCTTGATGAGTTTGGAACTGACTTCATCTTTTACTCGGGTGTGTGAACAACAGTATACTATATCCATCAAACATTCTAATTCTGGAGCATTTCTAATTTCCTAATATAAATTTTTGCTTAAATGAGATTGGTTCATCCAATAATATTTTTTACTAGAAAGTGGATTAAGCTAAGAGACTTGGAGTCTGGAAGGTTATCAAGGCTGCCCTTGGAAGAAAAATGGCGTCATGACAAACTAGTGGTTCTCTAAGTTACATATTGTAGATAGAAATCTTCTCCAAATACATCAGACTAGAAACATATCCTCTTTCTTTTAATAAGTGATATATGCTCTTTTTCATTTTTCGGAATATTTTATCCTATTTTTTTTGGCATCTGAACTTTTCCCTTTCCAGCAATTTATTCCGCCCTACGGCACTCCACCGCCTCCATATGTCATGTACCCTCATGGGAGTTATTATGCTCATCCAACTATGGCTCCGGTACTTACTCTCTATTGGTAATTGTAGTGTCAAAATAATCTCATCAAGATGCTCCTAAACTTTCTTTTCTCTTTAAACTTGTTTAGGGATCTTATCCGTTCAGTCCCTTTGCTATGCCTTCTCCAAATGGCATTGCCGAAGCCTCTGTGAGTAATCTTTAGCACATGAGATTTGTTTCTGTTTTCATTTTTCTATTTATTTATGGTTTTTAAGAACTTACTTTCATGAACTTATCATAATTGTCTTTCACATGTGTTTTAAAGGGTAATGCTTCAGGCAACATGGAGGTGGACGGCAAGTCATCTGAGGCAAAAGGAAAATTGCCAGTCAAAAGATCCAAGGGAAGTTTGGGCAGTTTAAATATGATTACTGGGAAAAATAACGAGCCTGGTAAAACGTCAGGTGCCACTCCAAATGGTCTACATTCTAAAAGGTAAGGATAGCATGATGGAGGTTATGTGTAGGGCCACAAATAAATGTTGACTACTTACTGTTACAGGGGTGGACATAGAGCTCTCAACCAAAAGGGACACAGTTTAATTTAACAAAGTAAAAAACTAATAAGATTCTGTATATCTAATATTGGTTTTAAGGTTTTCTTGAAGGATGGGATGAGATAAAAGGGAAGTTTGGAAAATTTAAATATTCAAATCTAAATATGACAACATATTTAGTCCTGGTAGTTGTTCTGTCATGTGATAGATTTTGGTTTCCTTTCTCTCTGTCTCTCGTTTACCTTTATTCATTTCTTTTTGTTAACTGTGACTTTCACAATGGTTCTTTCATTCATGTTTTCTTGTAAGTAGGTGTGAATTTGATATAATAAATAGAATCTATCTGTTTTCAAACATGTTTGAAAGCATGAATGACCTGCGACTCATGTGGTCAGGTCAGTTGAATGTTTATCTCAATGTGGTGTGCTGATATGTTTTGCAGTGCTGAAAGTGCAAGTGAAGGTTCAAGTGGAGGAAGTGATACACATTCCCAAAATGTAAGTGTTACTTGATGCAATAATTCTCATTGAGTCAACTGAAATTTAAAACACGTGTGTTGTTCTGTGCATCACTCTTCAAATGAATGTCCTATCTGAAGAGCAAAGTCAAATCGCTGGTGGACCGTAGGTGGACCGTACTTGTTCATCTAACTTTTTTATTTAAAAGACCATTATTATGCAATGACCATAAACAATACTGTGGTTTGTGGTTGTGCCGTGATGTTTACATGAATTTGGGATGCAACAGTACGGGATTTTCCCTGTGCGTAAATGAAACCAACATGGCAAAGAAATTTCTTATTCCCTGAAAACTGTCTTTAATCTTTATAGAGAAAAGAAGCACATGTCAACTGAATCATGGAATAATAACTTCTGTTTCTGAACTTTGTAATAACATTGGCTCTTTCCTAGTGCAACCTATGATTATTATATTTGCTAGCAATAGCATTTTCAAGTGTGAAAATTCTCTGTTGTCCCATCTTAACTTTCCTATACTTACTACAACAGGGTTCGCAAGTAAAATCCGCTGGCCGGCAAGATTCAGGTGTGGGACTATGAATTTACTCCTTATGCCTCAAGGAATCCATATTCGTTTCCTGACACTTGTTATGAATGATATCTTGCTACAGCAGAACCATCTCAGAATGGTAGCACGGGTCACAGTTCCCAAAATGGAGGACCGAATATCTCTCGGCAAATGGTAAATCAACCAATGCATGTGGTACCAATTTCAGCAGTGGGTGGTGTTCCTGGGCCCCCTACTAACTTAAATATTGGAATGGATTATTGGGGTACAATCCCCTCGTCTTCTATTCCTGCAATGAGGGGTAAGGTGTCTGCTGCACCAGTTGCAGCTGGAATGGTTACTGCTGGATCACGAGACAGCATACAGTCACAGCTATGGATTCAGGTTTTCCTTTGATTATCTTAACCAAACAATTTGCTCTCTCTCTCTCTCTCTCTCTCTCTCTCTCTCTCTCTCTCTCTCTCTCTCTCTCTCACACACACACACACACACACACACACACACACACACATTTAAGTTGTTCTCGATTCATCCTTGCTTTACTGATTGTTGGTGCTAATGTTTTGTAACTGGACTAGTTTATCGCTTTGTCCGGTAGAAGCTAGGCGGAGATGCACGTCTTGTTCATTCTTCTGCCTGTATTAACACTTCCACCAAAATGATAATTTTTGTATCTGTACTTTTCTAAGAGACCAATATCTAATTTACTCTAGTTTTTTACAGAATTGATTTCAATTCGTCTTCAATTCTTGTCTAGGAACACATTCGATCTGTTGTGCTAGTTTATCTGACGTGTTTGCTACAATGCTAGTTAATTATGGCCTATTTATTATGATTTGGATATAAAAATAAGTAATTTACCACGCGCTCAAACTCGACATCTCTTAATCTGATGATGATGATGATCATGATGAGAAGTATCCAAGCATAAATTGCACCACTGTCCCAAGTATCATCAGTTCTTTTGAGATTAAAATGGGACTAATCTCTGTGAATATCTGTGTAAATAAGTGGGGTCTTATATTTACTGAGGTTGGTGGGTTAGGAGAGAAGGAAGTCAGTACCATATAACATTCACTGGGGAATTTCAACTTAATCCTATATGACTTGATTGTGAATTATAAAATAGGATATTTTCTATGGCGTACTGAATTATAACCTGGGAAATCTTCGCTTAATGTGTTTATGTGTTATGATAATGCTTATGCATATACGTTAATTTGAGGTCAGGATGAAAGAGAGCTGAAAAGACAGAGAAGAAAGCAGTCAAACAGGGAATCTGCTCGTCGGTCGAGATTGAGAAAGCAGGTAATTCCCTTGACAATCCTTCGGTTTTATTTACTCGGTATCTCAATATATCTGGAAGTTTGTCTTATTTTTTCGTACATGAAATTCAGGCAGAATGTGATGAACTGGCCCAGCGTGCTGAAACCTTGAAAAAAGAAAATGCAACTCTCAAAGCAGAATTGGCTCATATAAAGAGCGAATACGAGCAACTTCTTGCTCAGAATACCTCTTTAAAGGTATTTTTTGCTGACATTCGAGTGAATATATAAAATTCAGCAGTCCCTCTGGAACCAATGGGTCATCGGTTAAAAGTAATTTTCACTCATTCTGCCTGCATGTGCTCAAGTTTTTGATGGGCACCAAAAATTTTCCTTTTAGATTTTTAATTGTTTATTTTATTTTGATTTTGTATGAGTGTTAATTTAATCAAACAGGAGAGACTAGGTGAGCTTCCTGGTGAAGAAGAACCAAGGTGCAGTCATGATGATCAGCGGTCGAACACTGATGCTCAATAATGCGGGAAAGACTGGGAAGAAGGAAAAAAGATAACGTAAAGAATAGAGCAGTGA